TATATATATATATGTACTGTATATGTATATGTATATATATGTATATGTACATAAAAAGGAGAAAAAGCCACAGACAACGCAGAATGTTCAAAAAAGAAACGAGGACATCCATTTTGGTTGTGTGCTCTTTTCCGTCTCTTCTTCTTCTTATACATGTTAGTGGTGGTTAGTAAAGAGATTAATGCAGCACTAGCACCACCATCTAGTAAGGCGTGTTGATATTTATGATCCGCTCACTAAAGGGGAACTATGGGCACTGTCGAGACAGAATATGAAGCAGCCCTACCGATACCGGCCTAATAAGGGCCAATAGGGCCTAAACCGACCAGGACCTGTTGATAAGAGGCTATTGAGCGCTGTTGTACATATGGCTGCAGCAAATCAGCGAGATAAGAGGGGGCAGAACTGTTCAGAGATTTAAAAACATACCGATGACTCATAACTTTTTTCAAGCCCTGATTCCACCCCCAATGAGACCATGGGAAATAATCATTCATGTCAAAAACTGCTACTGCTCACAGCACCCCTACCCCCATGAAACGTATTTCCACTGCTATGTGTATTTAAAGAGCTATCTACAACAAGAAAGAATATTCATAACTGTTTCACAGAATCAAAATGTCCGTAATATCGCTGTGTTTTCTTCAACGTATTCAGAAATGGAGGTGGCCTAGAGTAACGTTTTGAAATACCCTAATTCAAAAATATATGAGTCATTTTGATGCTAATGTGGAGAGATGGTGTGTCACTGTGAGATCTAAAGCTGTGCTGATTTTTGTTGTGCTCTCCTCTCCACCAGGCATCCTTCGGACAGCAGTACCCAACATGGACAGGGAGACCCAGGATGAGTATCTGGTTGTCCTCCAGGCGAAAGATATGGGCGGGCATTTGGGTGGGTTATCGGGCACCACAACCGTCACTGTGAAGCTGAGCGATGTGAATGACAACCCCCCTCACTTCAGGAGGAGTAAGCATCACAGTAGAACATTTTCATGTTAAACTGATGGCTGCTCTCTTGAAACTGCAGAAAATGTGTGAATGTTAGTGAAAACTGAAATGATGAAATGTCTTGTAATGCACCGGTGACAGCAGGCTGATGTTTTTCTGCCTCCTTTGAGTCCTAGTTGTCTTGACAGGTTCGAGAGACAAGCTTTAAAGCTAAACAGCTTGTCAGTCTACTGTTCCTCCTTGCAAAAGCAAATAAAACAACACAACATGCTCTAGAAGCCGTAGCATTAACAGTGATATAGGGACTCCCGGGTGGACCCTGAAGCTCAAATAGACTGCATCTTGACGTAGAAGAGTGAAAGATCATGTCCTCCTTTTTATTCAAGCTTTTCCCTGTTCCATCTTATTAATATTTCATCTTATAGTTCAGTGCTTTCCGCTTCAATAGACTGCAAAATCACTGCAGAATATTGCCAACACTTTCAGGCTGACCTCGTATTTCTTTATATACCAACTCTGTTAGTTTTGTTCTTATTTTTTTCCCTGACAGTTTCTGCTCATGCCTATTCATCTTAATGTTTAAAACCCTCCTCTCCAGATGTTGATATATAGTGCTGCAGTGTGGCGTTTTATAGAAGCAATATTATAACTCCAAATGCTAGCGGTATGTTATTTATTTACTGATATCTGTCTGTATCTTCTCTCTCACCTCACTGCAGGCCATTATTTTCACTTTGACAATAATGCCACATTTTAAGCAAACAGCTCATTTAGAATGCTCTTTGAAAGTGAGGGGTGCAATTTTATTTCTCTGCTTCTCTGTGTGGAGGAGGCAGAGATTTGATTAAAGTGAAATCTTTTCTGTGGATTTGCTGTGTGCTGTCGTGCGGCACGGCAACAAGCAGAACCCATCACTGGATGCCAAGTAAACTACACAACCTGCCACAGATCACTGGCTGCCCTTTCATGCCTGCAAAGTGGACAGGCTGTAATCCAAGCTAAAAAAATTACAACAGAATGGATTAACTCTGTGAAACTGTAATTTCCTGTTAAGTAAACATAACTCCCTTATGTATTTTTATCTGTGGAACCAGGTCTTAGTTGAATATATGATAAAGAAAAACAAATGGTTCATAGTGTCAGCAGTTTGAGCTCATGAAATCAGGCCAAAACAACATTAGTCATATTTGTGTTATTGTTGCTTATCACTATGTCTATGTCAATAGAATATTACAAATGTGCTAGCAGCTTCAAATAAGAATGCCACTGTATTAACAATGATGCCTGATATTTTCCTTTTGATATACTTACTGTTTTTTTTAAAGCGTGGACAAACAAAAATTGACAACATTTAGAATTAATTGCTACTTTTTTTTTCTCTCTGTACTTCGTTGAAGTCAGACGTGTTTTCCCGGCGCTCCGTACCCCACCCCCCGGCTTCCCTGCTTGCACTCTTCCGTCCTGTGAACCCTTAAAGAGCCTCTTTTTTCCTGCATACCTTCCTAATTCAAAGGATCAGCTGGTCTCTCAACAAAATTGATGAACTTGTCCCGACAAGAGTCAGGGTAAGGAGGACCCTCTTACCTCGACAGAAACAAATTGGATTCATGATGACAACTGTTTTTTTTTTTGCTGTTTGGCTGGTGAAATCTGGATTGTCTACAAATTCGTGTGGATGTGCCGAAGCTCAGCAGCACTCAGACTAAATTATGTGCAGCTGTGTCAGAGAGCAGGTGCAGCTGTTATCAGGACTGTGAATTCTCTAGCAGCACACTTGAAGGTGGGAATAATTTTGGAGAAGCTGAGAGCTCGACTTTCGGCGTAAATAATCAATTCGGCTGTTTGGAGTTTCCATCAGAGGAATATACCAGTGAGACTTTAAAAGGCAGAAACAACAATTCACGAATTCTGCCTGACCTAAACAGTGGCCTTGACGGCAGACTAATCTCAACTCCTCCTGGCATGTTTTGAAAAAAAACAAAGATGCTTTGTCTGTCTCCTCACCCCTCTCTTCCCCAAGACCATGGACATGTGACGGAACCTCAATCGAGCTGATGATAAATAACACCTCTTATCTGGACAGTGGCTGGTTGGGGGGGGGGGGTGGCTCTGGACTATGCTACGACTTTCCCTTAAAAAGTCAACGTCTTCATCAGCCTATATGTACATGTATCACGTCTATTTATGTTGCTTTGCTATGGTAGGTTTTTTGATGCCTCAAATCGTGCCCTGTCTAGGACACGGCGTGAGAGATCTTTTTTTTAAATATCTTCTCTCCTCATGTTTTCTTCCCTTTTCTCATCTTAGCAAAAATATTATTCTGAATAAGAATAAGAGGGCCACACTTTTTTAAAATAGTAGCAGCTTCATGAAATCCGCCCAGCTTTCAGACGACTGTATGTACATGTTCTATTTGTATGTCGGCGCAATGATAATAAAGCTTATTCTGATACTGATTCTTTTGACAAATCTGAGCATCTTTATGTTTGTTAAGGTGTGAAGATTTTAAAGTTGTGAGCAAAGGAAAAAATAGTAAGATGTGCTATTGGTTAATTTAGATGGCAGAAATTAGGATTCCCAGATTTTAAAATTAAATTCAAATATATAAACAAGAAAAACTGATCTTGAGTCTGTAGTTCTATTTCGTTTAGGCTTCACCCTTTAAGGCTATCGCTAGTGGATTTATCCCTTCGCGCGCAGCGCAGCACTGAAAACTTTAGTCCACGCCCACCTGCTGTGTGGGCCTCACCCCCGGTCCGTATAAATTATGGTGAGACCGAGTAATCGGCTCCCATTTTTTCTTCTGCCGACCAGCACTGTTTTTTTCAAGAAGATAAATGGTAAATGGACTGTACTTATATAGCACCTTTTTATCTTATTTCAAGATACTTAAAGTGCTTTACACTACAATCTGTGTCCTCATTTACCCATTCATACAGCACTCTACTAGATCTCTACAAAGCTAATTGAACAAATGATTCTAAAGAGACTAATCAGTGCTTTAGATCACATTCATACACTGATGGGACACACATCAGAGGCTATGAGGGGTTCAGTGTCTTGCTCAGTGACACTTCAGCACATGACTGCTGGTGGAGTCAAACCCCCAACTCTCGCATTGGAGGACGACTGCTCTAACCACTAAGCCACAGTTGCCTGAGAAAAGAGAGAAGATGTCCAGCACCATCCGCCTATGCCCATCCTGCCAGACCGACTACATTATGAACTTCGACTGGCACGACATCTGCTAAGGATGCCTAGGTCCCCGTCACACCGACCTCGCCTCCTCCTGCTGTCCCTGTGACCTCCTCCCTCCTGAGGAGAAGCAGAGACGAGCAGCCTTGCTCAAGACTAACATCGAGGAGTGTTTTTCCGCAGGGGATTGTTTGCTGGACAACGCCATCGCCTTTTTTGACGCTGAGTCACGGAGTGAATCGGATGATTCCTCCAATAATGGCGATGTCAGCAACAGCCCCGCTGCTCATTCCCTCCTGGAGATCGTAGTGTTGGAACGGGGGGGGGGGGGGGCAAGCTCAAACCCCCCTGCTGAAGCTGAAGGCGCCCGTCTCCACCTTCGTTCCCATCACCAGAGTGGAGGGGTTTACTGAGTGGAGTTTTCCCTCGGTTCCCCCCCGGATCCAAGCCTGGTGGAGGCACTTGGGTCAAAAGTTTCCAGGTTGGACCAACGACCTGTCCTTTCAGGGAAACACGACTAGATGGTGACATCGCTCTCCAACCGAGCCCACCAGTGTGATTTTCAGGCAGCCACAGCGAACAACAATGTTGCCCTGCTGGCTTACAGCATTTCAAAGAGGCTGGAGGACACAGACCTGCCTGCAAGGCATCTGACGTCATTCTGAACTTGTGTGCCACCTCTGCGGTCTGCCTGTCTCGCATTGCCACCTGGATGACGATGATCCAGAGGTCCACCTGGCTCCATCTCTCCCCGTCCATGCCGAAGAGGCTGTAGAGGGACCTGCTAGAGGGCCTCATCACGACGGATGTGCTGTTCGGGGCCAACTTCAAGGCCATGCTCAAAGTCCAAGAAGTCCGAGGAGGTCAAAGCAGATGGCTGCTTGTCCTGAGCCTGGTTCTGCTGGAGGTTTCTTTCTTTTAAAAGGGAGTTTTTCCTTTCCACTGTTGCTACTGTGATTGCTCAGGATGGGAGACTGCAACAAAGCCAAGATTCAACTTGTCTGCTGGATTCCTTAGATAGAGAACTTTTCTAATTGGCTTTTATGTATGTGAATGTTCCTGTAAAGTGCCCTGAGACAACTTTGTTGTGATTTGGTGCTATATAAATAAACTGAACTGAATTGAATTGAATTGAGGTGTCGGAAACTATGCGCCACCTGATGAAGCCGCAGCCCTCCTCCCGCCCCCTCGCCTGCTGGAGGGATCGCCGTGGTCAGCGACACGTGGTCGCCCCACTCCTCCACCGGCCCCTCCCACCAGAGAACAGCCCTTCTCATCGTGCCAATCAGCGACTTACCGCTTCCCCAGAGGGCGTCAACAAGTGCCGCCCTGGACCAATCAGCCGCAGGGCCCACGGAGGAGGCAACACGAAAAATGACTCCTTGTGGGAAATGTGTGTGTTCATAATGATGATTTAAGTTATATATAAAACAAAAACATCATTCAAAGAGTAAACTGTCTTCTGATTCCAGCCTTACTGTCAGATCAAATGATCTCACAGCGGCTTCTCTTCATACATTCCCCACACAAAACGAGCCGGTAACCTCAAAACAGGTTTTTAAAAGTCACCGCAGCTCGGGAAATCACACAAAATACTCGCTTGACACATCAGCTAAAAATTATTTTTTTTCAGCAGACCAAGCCCGGTAAAAACCCTCTCTCTCAGCCCGTATCGTTTTCTTACATTTCTGACCGCAGCAGGAGTAAACGTGTTTCTCCATGACAACTGCAGCCTCCACCCAAACGGCGTCTCATCTCTAAAAGCACTCACCCCTCAGTGCGCGTCAGCTCACATCAACTCTAATGTGAGCCCGTAGCCTGAGC